CAGGGACAACACCACTGTAAGTTTTCTAGGATGGTGACTTTAAATTTTTCTCTTCAACAAGATCTAGAAGGCCATTTATGCCAGAGGACATCCCAAATCTTAAGATTCCAATGGCTAATCCTGTGGCACAGTTCTTTAACTCTAGATGTGCCTTTATTGTCATCAGACAAAAGAAAGACATAGAGCAGATTTATATATTAGAAATAATGAAAAATAAATTATAGATAATTAAATCTGGAGAGAACCAAAAGAGGTGATCTCAGTTTGTGCCTCAAATATTATTTGAAGAGATGAAGGTAAAGGAGCACAGATTCAGGATCAGAATTTAGGTCCAATGTACGTTCTAAGTGATTCTGAATCAATTCTACCTAATCCCTGTCATCGTTTTCAACATGTTATGGAGTAAGAGGAAGACAAACACACATACATTTTTCTGGTGAAATATCCAATTGTATTCTTGTGTCCTTAAAAGGATTCACAACCATCAAAATGATGAAGAATCGGTAGTTAACAGAGTGAACTAGAACAATGATAGATGACATCTGCCGTTGAGCAGGTTAAGCAAATATATTTGTGTTTATTTTTTATAAAGAAATATCGAAAAATTTGTAACTCATCCACTTAGCACAAATGGCAGGGGGGGTGGAAAGTTGCAGCAGAAAGGGAAGAGAGGAAAGAGAGTGATGGGGAAAGATAAAGGGAGAGAGAGAAAGCACAGTATGTAATAAAGATGTAGTTTTACCACTGTTTTATAAACAATGTTCTGATCCAAGTCAAATGCAGGCTTTTTCTTTTCCCTCTGTATCACTTATAAATACTTTTCTGGGTTGCTTAATGAAAAAGAATTCTACAGATTGGCTTAGTCCTGGAGTCTTTAGCTTTGTGGTGTTTCTAACTTTCTACCCTTGAACTAGTCATAGTTCAAAAATAAACAGAAGTCTGTTTTGAGTCCCTAAGACCTAGAGATAAGATTATTACCTCACTAATTAGTTTGGAGAAACTTTATAAAAAATAAACAGAAGTCTGTTTTGAGTCCCTAAGACCTAGAGATAATATTATTATCTCACTAATTAGTTTGGAGAAACTTTTTTTTTTTTTTTTTTAATAAAACAAACCCAGCTGGTTCTTGTATACAAAATGATGAAACTTTTGCCCAGGACCATCTTAAAGAGCTACCAGATACCTTGAGAATATTAACTCATTATCTCCGAAAAGCAAAGAGATAATGCTACTTAAAGTTTTCATTCCTGACACTTTGATAAAACTCTTAAGGGTTGATTCTTCTCCAGACCAATTACAGGATTTGTGAATGCTGCATGAGAGCCAGAGCATAAGAATTTCAATCACGAGATCTGACCATACAATGACTAATGCATGAGGATGAGCAAGTTACTTAAATTGTTTTATAACCACAAAATTTCTTTATGTATAAAATTGAGATGATAATACCTCTCACATTATGTTTTTATGAATTTCAAATGAGATACTATGTGTGCAAAGCAGTTTTTGAAATGTAAATTTCTCTGTAAATATGAATAATACTATTTTAATTATTTTTCATTTAATAAACACACTATTTTAAATGGCTAGTATAATATCTTGAAGAGACCTAGACTATTGACATAATTCATAAAAGGTTTATTGAGAAATAATTCAAATACTATCAAATTCATTCTCTTATCGTACACAGTTCAATGATTTATAGCAAATTTAGATAGTTTGCAACTAATACCATGATGCAATTTCAGAACACTTCCATCACTTCAGAAAGATCTCTGATGCCTATTATAGTCACAGCTTGTTTCCATCCCGAGCTCCAGGAAGCCACTAATCTACTTTTCTGTCTATATGAATTTATCTTTTCTAGACTCCTCATGTAAATAAAATCATGTCCTAGGTAGCTTTTTGTGTCTGGCTTCTTTCATTTAGCATAATGTTTTTTTAAGTTTCAGCTATATCATAGCATCCATCAGTACTTCATTCCCTTTTACTGTATAAATACAATACATTTTGTTTATCCATTTGTTAGTTTATGAATACATATTTTTTTTCCATTTTTGTTTATATATATATATATTTACAGAGTTTTGCAACCTATATATATACACATACACATGTTGACATACCTTTTATTATATATTATGATATCTCAAATAGGAAACTAGGTATAAACTTTTGCTTATAAACTCTCTGCAGTAATAAAATAAAAATTAACTAATTGTAAAAAAAACTAGAACCAATGCTATTAAAATTACACTATTTTAATAGTATTTATTTTGTCTAATAGATTATATTGTTTTTTTAAACCAAATAATTGATACTAAATTTAATCAAATAAATGTATTTATATTTGTGTCTTAAATTTTATTTGTCAACTTGATTCTATAATTCGAGTTACATTCAACCATTATTTGAATTATCATTCTTACCCTTGTAATCTCACTTCTTTTAAAATGACCTTTTAAACTTATCAATATATTATTTTTACTGAATTATTTTTACTAAATGATTGAATTTTAGAGGAATTATGACAATTAAATTTTTAAGGAAAGCCTTCAGTCCAAAGCGGTCTCCAGTTTGTGATGAGATTTTCTCTGGCAGAGTAGTATGTCACTGGGGAGACTGGGGAGACTATAGCGGGAATGGGTTAATCGCAGCAGAGGTGGAGACAGATATAGGTGATCAATGCCATCACAGGACACCGAGGAGACCAAGGGAAGGTGTATCAAAACGGAGAAATGGGCATTCCTTCCCACCAATGTTGTAGCGCTATGTCAATCTCAGAGTTTAGAATCGGATCTAGAGAAATGAAGGATGAGGACGTAAAGTTCAAAATTGACTTGGTTTGTAACTTGAATGTGACAACTTTGTAACTTGAATATAACAAATGTAACTTAAATGTCATTGACTTGAATGTAAATAGAACATTTTTTTCCTACCATTTGACAGAAATGGAAGTTCAAGGTAAAGCTTAGTTATGGAAATATAAAGGAAGTTACATTTTGTGCATCTGAGTTTGTAGCATATAAATAGTTCTCCCACCATAATATCCTCTTAGTATAGTTGAAATCACCTTAAATCGTGGCTCCCCAAGAGCTACACAGTTATGCCAGTTACATCAGATACATATCTAGGTGTGAATCAAGGGCCTGAGAGTATAATGGCTAGGAGTAGTATTGCAAGTGGAAGATAATAAGCCTAATTACATTTAATGGACTGAAAATTATTTGACCAGAGTATTATTTTACTTGCAACACTTTTACTGACCTTAAAGCTTATAGTTCATTTTAAGAGCACAGCAAAATTTTGTTCTGTTGCTGACTCAGAGAGTCCTCTCTAGAAGGACTCCATGGAAACCAAATGCAGAGAAAGGAGAGCACAGAATCTAATGATTAATTTTAAGCCTGTTGTTTCTTTGTTCTTAGATCCTGGTTTACGCTAAATGAATATAAATATAATAGATATAAAATACCATGCTATAAAAATGTAAATACTATAAAAATACTATATTATATTAATAGTATAAAATATAATATATAATATGTGTAATGTATAAATGTAATTACATATACTATGTGTACATATTTATACATACATATACATTACATATATTATACATATGTAATACTATGTATGATGGTAATATATATTATTAATTTATAACCATAAATGTTATAAATATATAATATAGTAAATATTCCATATTACTGATTATTAACTAAAAATCTATTGGCATTTTTTATTTTCCTGACATTTCTATACCTTAGTGTCTCAGATTTTTCCTCTAACACCCACCTTCATTCCCAAATTTTCAAATTCTATAAGCCAATCAGATTTCATATTTTGTATCCTCCTTCAGACCCCGATATCCTCAGATCAACTTAACTTTTCTCATTAAACCCACTTCTTATTTTAACTATATTTTCTTTATGACAGGTACTATATGATTTTTTTCATAGTTAATTGCACAGAGATATCTATCTGATTCATTTTTTATTCTCAATAACACCTAGCTAAGGGACTTAGTAGATCCTCAATAAATGTCTGCTGAATTCATACATCAGTTAATTAAAATAGGAGGAAACCTACATAGGCTTCAGATCCCATGTTAGAGACTAGAACTCCCAATTTAGTACACTCATTTTTTTTGCACTCATTTAGCTACACAGGCCTCTTGTCTTGATTTTAAAAAGAGGTGTTTATATTAGGAATATCTGAGGTTCTTTCTAGCTCAAAGTTTCTGTTTAAAAATCATGATATAAAAAAAGGTATAATTATGGTGCACTTAGATTAGCTTTTGTTGTGGGGCTTAGTCTAAATCTGTTCCTTTAGTTCTTCTCACTATTGGCTTCCAAGTGAGCAGATTTAGTTCTATAAATAATAAAATTGTTAGAGAACTGTGGGGTTGTGTCACATAAGGGTTTCATTTATAAGAAGATATCCAACTCAATAGTACAAGTAGTAGTAGACTTTCAAGTATGCTCGGGCCTCTATGTTAAACCTCTGCAGGGAAATGAAGACAGGATTAGTGGTAGAAGATGTAGGAGGCATACAGTGCCTATCCTCAGGGAATTTGCTGTCTATGAGGTAGATAAGACAAATACAAAGATAATTATAAAATATTATTCTAAAGCAGACAAGAGCTATAGAAGATTTAAATCCTAAATTAAATACCAATCCAATCTTTTAAGTGAAGTAATAATCGATAACAGAGTATCTCCTTTGTTCTCATTTTTTCTATATTATTTTATGTATGTCATTTAGCCTCTTAGAGTCCTCTTGCTTCATCATGTACAAAAATTGCTTTATATGATATTTAAGGTCCCATTCATCTCTATCCTCTTATGTATAAAAGGACGTAAGAATGTATCTCTTTATTTTGATAGAGATGGTTTATTTATTGATGGCCATAAAGGATTTTTACGATATTTAATTTAAAAAAAACAGATTTCATTCTATTGCTACATTATCAAAATTATTGTTAATCCCACTGATTATAGTGTGTGTATTTCTTTGTGTGTATTTAAGGATTCAATATTACTTCGTGTCCTCAAAATAACTAAGAATTTAAGTACTTCTAAATTTTGGATTTCAAAATTGGAGATGGGTAACATGGGATGTGATAAATCTTCACAGCATGCCCTGATGGAAAGAATCAACAAGAATTTGGTTAATTTGAACCATGAGGACTGTCATGGTTGATAAATTAAGCTTTCCACATTCCCTCTTGAAATTCACTGAGTCTCAAATTGCTTACCCTGGCCCTGCTGCTTGGTCTACTGTCCTATTTTAATTCTTCCAGGCAAAGCCAGCTCTGAGCACTGAAGCAAGGGAACAGATCCCACTGATGCTTCTTTGAGAGTGAGAAGATTCCACACTCAGAATATGTAGAGATTTGAAGGCTTGACATTAAAAAATCCATATTTTCACTGTTCTACTGAGGCTATTTAATTACATCATAATTGACAAGTGGTATTTTATCACTAACTCTCACAAGAAGGATAATGTTATAGGGTTTCTCTCTCTCTCTAATGCAGTGACTTAGGAAGAATGAGTCTCATCTTGAAAATCCTAGAAAAATTGATGTGAATAAAATTGTTAACAACCATGTGTGAGTAAAGGAGGCAGAATGTTAGTTTTATGTGTGTATGCATGCACACATACATGTATGTTACATTCACACTTAATTTTTCCTTGGAATGATAATTGCAGAGAGAACTCAAGACCATAAACACTTTAACACATACTTCCTAAGCCAATTTCCAGTCTTACTGATCCATTTTGCCCCATTTCACAACTCACGATTAGGGGCCAAAAATTATAGGGCAAAAACAAAAAGCCAAAGTCATAATGAGCATGATAAGCATCTCTTAGGAATGAGTACCTTTGAGATTAATTAACTAAAAAAGTTCTCTTCTCAACAATTCCCTTGGAGAAATCTTATATCTTGATATAAGTAGTAAGAAAAGTACTATAAATATGTTTCTCATCTGGAACTTTCCATTACCTACTTTAAGAAAAAAGGACCGATTTTGAGTTTCCGACAATTATATTAATAGGAATACACATAGAAAGTACATGCTATTATCAATACCACAAATGACACATTTGTACATGAGAGGCATTAACGCAGAGCTAGGCTTGGATATATATTCGTTTGATAGGGCTGTTATTATGAAATACCACCAACTGGGAGCCTAAACAACAGACATTTATTTTCTCTCAGTTCTGCAGGCTAAAAGTTTAAGATTGAGGTGTCAGCAGAGTTGGTTTTCACTGGCAGGACAAGGGAAGGATCTGCTCCTGCCTCTCTGTGGCTTGCAGATGGTCACCCTCTTGCTGCCCCTTCACATGATCCTTCTTCTCCATGTGCACCCCTGGTATCTCTTTGTATGTCCATATTTCCTCTTCTTATAATGACATCAGGCACATTGGATTAGGGCCCATTCTAACAACCTCATTTTAATTTAACCACCACTGTGAAGACCCCATCTTAAATACAGCCACATTCTGAGGTCCTAGGGGTTAGGGTTCAACATATGAATTTTGGGGACACAATTCAGTCCATAATAGAAAGTAAGCCAAACTTAAGGCTGAATGCTAACTTGAGCATGCACTACCTATGTGATTTTGAACAAATTACCCAAGCTTGCAATCTAATTTTCTAAACTGTAAAATAATGATAATATTATAAGCACTTACCTCATAGGGTTATTATGAGAATAAAATGAGGTAACAATGCAAAGGACCTAGCACAGTGCTTAGCACATGGAAAATGCTCTATAAATCTCAACTGATCACAACAAAAATTTACATTTTCTTGGCATTTCCAGCATTTTCTGACAGTAGCTTAATTTCTCTTTTTTCATCTAAAGTTATAATTTAATAAGAGTATTTGTTTTTTTAATCTAAGTCATATGCATTGTAATATAACCTATAACCTTGTTTCTTTTTTATTTCTTTTAAATTGCTTCAATAAATTCTCAATTCTGATAGTAGTTATCAGCAGCAGTATCATCTTCATTTCTGATATTTCCTTAGAAATTTTTATATTGTTTACTTTTTGTGCAAATCTTTTTTGTTCTGTCTTGTTTTTTTCTTTCTAAGCCTTTGCTTGTATCTGTCTATAATTTGTTATAGCTAAAGCTCAAATAAATGTTGAGTTGAGATAAACTGTGTAATTTCAATATTGATCCTATTACTTATCAGTTTTGTAGGATTATATATTCAAGGTTTTAGTGTTTTAATGACTTCAAATGAAGGGAAAGTAACAGTGAGAAGTATAATAGGAAACAGAACTTCATCCAATTTTGCCTGAATTTAAAATATTGCATAAGTATAAATTAATATATAAAACAAGCATTTTATATTAAATTAAAAAAATGTTTTATTTTACAGAATAGTGGCTAATATGTTCTTATTATGCGATAAGCCCTGCACTAAGTCCTTCGCATGGATAGTATAATCTGCACACTGACCCTATAAGTTAGGTGTTTGTATCCTTTTCATAATATGCTTGAAGAAAGTGTTATCAGAGAACTCAACTAAAACCACATGAATGCCAAGTGGCTGAGTGGAAACCTAAACCCACATCTGCCCGCTACAAAGCCCAGCACTCTTAAATACTGGTCTTAAACACTGCTCTCTGCTACTAATATTCATGAAGAATTATTTCCATAGAAAAATCTTGTAAACTAAACACCGCTTTTCTGTTGCTTTTTTTTTTAACTTAAAGAAATGTATTTCTTAAGAAACAAGGAAGAAGGGAAGGTATCATATTTACCAAATCTCTATTATATTCATAATACAGTGCTAAGTGCCTTAAAGCACCATTTAAGTCAATCTTTACAATTCAATGAAGTGGGTTTAAATGTTTTCATTTTGCCAATTAAGATATAGCAATTTAAGTTAGGTAAGTAACTTGTTACAAATCATAAAGTTCGTACATGTTAAGATCAAATCTAAACCATATCTGTCTGATTCTATTATTTCTCTTACCATAAATGATTACTATTTTCAAAGTAGGGCATGAGTCTGCTCCTAGCAGATGCTTAATAACTTCCAAGAATGTACAGACTGAGGCCATCAACAAAAGGTCATCTAGAAGTCACACTTTCATATTTACATTCAGCAAATTAAGGGTTGAACAGTTCTAAGCTTTAAGTACGCATCCATCTCTCTTTCTTTACCTCTTTGCACCTAGTTAATTGTTACTCTTATAAATTACTTTGTCAATCTTCTTTTCACAGGATGAGTTGATATTTTATGTAATGATATAATATTGAAACAGAGAAATAAGAACTTAATTGTGTCTGAGATAAAAAAAAGAAAGAAAGAAAGAAATTTTACAAAGAAAATAATGATTCAGCTTGGGTTTTGAAGGATTCCCAGCATGGGAATCGGTAAAGGGCATCCCAAGAGGAGAGAATAAAATTTATAAAGGCACAAAATTGTGAATGAATATATTTTAAATGTTTTTTGAAAACTTCTCAACATCTTTACAGAATTAACGATTTCTGTTTCCATTTTACTAGTCTAGTTTATATATTTCCATTAAATATTTATTACATTTCATTTTAATCATATTTGTCTCCCATGTTTTTTAGTTATAAGCTTCTTAAGAATATGACTTAGATATTTGTAACTCCAGTGCTTAACATAGTAAATACTCAATAAATGTGTATTTATTAAAAGAACAATAAAGAATACAAAAATACAAAGAGGAACATTTTGGGAGTGGTCAGGACAGTTCAGCTAAATAGTAGAGTATATAGGAAAAAGATGTGTGCGTGTTGTTGGGTGAATATATGAATAAATGGCTTTGAAGAGATTAAGAAGTAGGTAGGTATGATTGTTATTTCTACAGATACTATATTTTAATTTAACCTGTGAGCAACAAATGTTTATTGATGATCCTATAGAAACAAAGTGGTATTATGTAATGTGTGTTTTGTAAAGATATTAGTTTAACGTGTAATTGAATTATGACCAGTATTTCTTAGGACCTCTGTCCACAGCCATTCACACTTGCTTAATAGACTGTCCTTTCTTGCTTCACTTTTCTGCTCCCTTATGCTTCTCAGGCTCATCTTCTAAATAAACTGCTTATACTCAAACCCTTGTCTTAGGGTATACTATTGTGAAAATTTAAACTAAATAAAATTTTCTACTTTTTCTTTTCTCTGGTAAAAGGAAATCTTGAGAGAAAGTTGGTGATGACATGTTTGTGTCATATCTGTACATGTTGATAGGTACAAAGAACCCACCAAAATACTGTCTGTTTTTTTGTAAAAATCAAATTCTTACTTTCTGGAAATTCATATTTATTCACCAATAAAAACAACAGCAGAAAATAAATGTTTATCTATTTACTCAATGATATACTACACTTTGGCAGTAATGCATTAATTTCAGACACATTCAATGACATAAATGCCAAAAAAGTAACATTTAAGTAAAAAACAGCAAATTTCAGTAGAATTAAATTAGTATAAATTTCAAAAACTGGTAATAAAGTATTTAAGGACAGAAACATATGAGGGAAAACTTAAAGAACAAGAAGGGAATAATAAGCACAAAATTCATGAGAGAGATGTTTTGTAGAGAGAGTTTGGAATGCCTAGTAGAGGATACAGAATCAGACCCAGGTCCACTGGAAACATTCAAAGCATTTACATTGCTTTCTTCCTTAAACTAGACAGTGGGACCGACCCAGGTATTACTGTATCATAGTCCTTTATACTTTATATATATTTTATTACTATTATTTTCTAATTATTTACTATTTAATAAAAACATCTTTTAAAAGCTATCCAATAAAACAGAATAGATTCTAGAAATAAATCCACTCCTATATGGTCATTTAATCGATGACAAAGGAGGCAAGAATATACAGTGGAGTAAAGATAGTCTCTTCAATAAGTGGACAAATACATGCAAAACAATGAAAGTGAACCACTTTCTTACACCATAGAGGAGAAAATGGATTAAAGACTTTAGTGTAAGACCTGAAACCATAAAA